AGTGTGTGTGTGTGTGTGTGTGTGTGTGTGTGTGTGTGTGTGTGTGTGTGCATGAGCGCAGTTGATTTCTGTCATTTGGAGTTTAGGACTCTGAGACTTTGGGAAGATGTGATGCAGGGCAGAATTGAGCTCTCTTTTAAGCCGAGGCATGAATCCTATGCCTTTCCCTCTGTTCTTCTGCTCTCCTGCAGAAATCTTTTGCAGCATACAACACTGCCATGGGGACTTCAGCAAACTTCCAAAGCCTACAGCCTGTATCTCCATGGCACTGGGTAGAGGGAAGGCGGGACCATGGTGTGGGGTTGGTTTTTGTTCAATTGCATTGGTAGGGTCTTCATGTCAGCTAGTACAGTCTCACTGCCTGTTGTGTGTAGGTGGTAGGAGAAGAGGTGCTGAATGAGCTTGAGGTAGGTGTCAGTTCATGTGATTTTCTTTGGTTGGTTTTTAACCTTTTTTTGGGTGGGGTTCTGGTTGTCCTAGACCATAGAGAAGTTGCTTTGTCTTTGGCATATAATTTCAGTTTTGGAGAGGTTTGAGAGGTCATGGGGATCAGAGAAAATGTTTAAAACTCTATCTTGTTGGTCACGACTCAAAAGTCTCACTTTGCTCTTAATTCTATTTTTTATCTTTTGTTTCATCTTTTCCAGCTATGCTTTAGTTGTGAGATTGCTCTCTTTTTAGTTTACCTCTTGGACTTCTTTTAGCCCAGCTCTATTTCTTTGTTATGTTCCACATTTTATTCTATTTACTTATATTTTTAGCATTCATTTTCAATTTGGAATTTTATGCTTAAGCCAGTCCATTCTAGCTCTCTTGGATAGGTTGGGTAGGCCCTTTTTGGCTCTATTCCCTCAAAAATCTGGATTCCATTGATGATCCAAATAGGTTGAGGAGTACTGGGTCCAGCTCCCTGCATCAGTTCGTGGTTTTTCTTTGTTTCTTCGTGATCAGCAGTGGGTTCAGACCTGAGGCAGCCTCTTGTCTTCCCGATGAAGAGTTAGTTCTTATCCCTGACAGACCCCACTTGTATCCTGGAGATCATGTAGACTTCAGTCCTCCTGCACAGACTTCACAGCACTGCCCCCCAGATGCTGAGTCGGCCCTTTCCCTTGCAGTAGCTCCCTTCGCTTACAGAGATGCACAGTGGGTCCCATTTCTCTGTGCAGTAATCTCTGGAGGCTGGTTCCATCTCTGCTTCTGTTCTGACATTCAGATCTCTGATTCTCAGAGGTTGCAGTGGTTTGGGACACACACTCTTTCTCCCTGATCAGACAACTAGACCTTGTCTTCAAATCCATTTACCTTTGTCACTTTTCTTGGCCACAGCTGCTCTCCTTGCATCCTCTAGTTTCCAGGAGGTTTATCTGAGGTTGTGCTAGCTTTCCTGGCACTACCTCTCTCCCTGCCTCTGTCAGTTTCCATGCTTACCTGTGTTTATGCTGGCTTTTCCGGTGAGATCCCTCTTCCCACCTCCACCAGCTGTCTTTTCATGAAGTTCTAGACTGAATTGAGGCATATTCTTCTGATTTTTTTTTCTTTTTTGTCACTGTTATTTCTGTGGTCCTTTTCAGAGTTGCTGGAGATTTATGTGGGAGAGATGGGTATTTCTATGACCTTTCATATCACTATCTCAATTGCTTTTATCTCATTCTTCCACAACCCCTATTCTTGTTGAGAGACTAAAGAAATAATTAACCCTTCATGATTCCTAAATAAACTTCTTGAAGGTGCATAATCCACCTCCCAATTATTTTTCTTTCTCTTCCATCTCACATAACTTCTGTGTTATTCATTCCTGCAAAGGATATCTAGTGAATTACATGGGATTTTAATTCTTTCTATTATCTTGATCCATTAAATTTCCCTTAAATATTCTGTCTTCAAGTCCAGTCATTCATGTGCTTTTAAAAATCATTGTTGCCTTTTGCTTTTCCTAAATTTTCTTCCAGTTTTTATTTTTGTGCTTCAAATCATCATTTTTTTTCTTTCAGAGCCTATGAAAAAAACACTTGACATAAATAGCTCTGTTTTGAATTTGTCATGAGAATGCACACTCCAAACACATAAGCATATAAAGAACTTGATGGTGAGGGTCATGATAATCAGATTCTTGTGATGCATGTAGCTGGTTACCTTGACCAAATGATGTTTACATTGATCAGGACAGTAAGACCTGCTAATAATGAGCTCTCATTTTGAAGTGTCATGTCAACGTATTAGCATATTGACATAGGTAATCACAGCCACCTCTTATAACAACTAAAAACTGATTGGTCCATTTCCGCAGAAGTGGAGGTGACACTGAACATAGGCTGCCACTTCTGATGGCAATCAGTGAATACTGATTCTAGTTGCAAGCGAAGAAGAATCAGTAAAGCCCACAATGGCTAATGACAAGATTTGAGAAGAAACCACACTATGAGCCTCCAGTTCTTGAAGCCCAGAGAGGACTGAATACACTTTTACCATAGATCATAACAAGTAGAGTCCAGCTCCCAGGCACTGCTGTCTGCCTGGATCCATCTTCCTGCACCTTGTACTATCAGATATCTAATCTACCATTTTTATTCCTGCCATCCTATGGTGGGAAGATTGTTTTGAATAGTTTGGATTAGATTTTGGGCTAGGTATTTCTTATAGTATATTTTAAAGAAACTTACATGATTGTTGTCTGGTGTGGAAATAACATTTGAAGGGGCTTTTTTCTTCTTTATTAAGTAATTCAATGCTAAAGTAAATTGTATGAAATAACTTGAGTGTATATATTGTTTCAAATTTTATTGATCCAATCATTGAGTGTCTCATCTTTCCTTAGAAGATATGTTCTTAGTTTTGGATGCGGTTTTTCACAAAATGCCTTTATTTTATTTCCTTTACATAATTTGTACTCAAGAAGTCAATAAAAAAAACTGTAGTTAATCTCAACTGAGACAGAGATTCTATCTTTGGAAATAATTTATATCTAAATTCCAAATTGTTTTCTTTCCTTTTCTGCATTGAAAGTTCCTATTTCTATCCTAATTTCATGTTATCTTCTTCTAGTTTTATATTTCCTTTGGATAATCTAGAGTTCATTGTTGGGGTTTTTTTCAAGATACATGATCTCTGCAGAGACCACAAAATTCTTCCTTTTTTTGGTCAGGGGTCTTTAATTTACTTTCCTTCAAATATAAAGCTTTTTCATAGCATGTTGGCCTCTTTTTGCATTTTTGCTGATTTTTCCTTCTATGAATTTCTGTTGTTTTCTTTCTCTAATACTTTTTAATAAAGGGTGTGTATGCTTGTAGTATAGCGGTAGCTAGGTATCTCAGTGGATAGAGTGCTGGAAGACCTGAGTTCAAATGTAGACTCAGACACTAACTAGCTGTGTGACCCTCAGCTAGTCACTTAATCTCTGTTTGCCTTAATCCACTAGAGAAGGAAATGGCAAAACAGTCCAGTATCTTTGCCAAGAAAACCCCATGGACGGTATTGGCATGCTTCTAGCAGTGTGTGGGTTGATTAGTAGAACTAGTTACTCACTTATGGTTGACCCTTACACTCATGTGGGTGGCACCTTTTGTTTCCAATTCCTCCCTTTATGCTTGACTTTCTAGTTAGTGCTCTCAGCACCCTTCTCCGTGCCACCGGATGTCCCCCTCCCCCCCAACCTTAGAAAGACTTCCTTAAGAAGAAAGGACTGAAAGAACAGCAAAGATATGTTGAAACAACTGATCTCAGAAGACTTAACTCCATGCCTTACCACATAGCCTATAAGCTCAGTTCTGCCTCTTCCTTTCAGTTCTTATTCACTTGATCTTTTTTTTTTTCATTTTTGTGAAGTTCTAAGTATATGAATCAATAAAATCTCCTTTTTGTCTGACTCTGAGCTCCTGTGCTGGGAATGTTCCCAACAATTATAAATCTCTCAGACTCTCTTTCTTTGTCTACTTCTGTTGTTTCTATCTCAGTCTCTTTCTGTCTGTCTGTCTCCCTCTGATAGCAGCAGGGCTTCTACTGTCCTTTCCTTTGGGAAGTTCTTTCATTTCTAGCCTGTGACTATGGGCCGCACTCTTCACTGCCCTAATTTTCTACCCTTATTTACAGTTCTTCTCCCTTTTCTTTCTATGGCTGGGTAGAATCAATATCTACTATATCTTATTGGATAGTTGAGTCCCTGCCATGGGGGGTGAGGAGCCAAACACCAGAACTTGAAATATAAAAACTTGACAGATTGCTTAAGCCTATCCCACCAAGTGTACTTTGAATAGATTGGAGGGTTGGGATGCTGAGTGGGAACTGTCATGTATTTAAATTGTTTCATGAGACTTTTATATTGTGTGGTATTTTTGTCGTGTTTTATGGACTCAGTTTTCAATACTCTATATCTTGTACATAATTTCTTTTTTTTAAGATTTGGGGTCTAGAGAAGTTTGTAGAAAACAACCATCTTGCCAATCATGAACCTATATGAACTCTTTTTATAAGTTACAAGCAAGTTTGCATTAATTCATTAATGATGTCCCCTATACATGAAGCTGATAGTATTAATAGGATGAGAATTTTCCATTTTATCTGTTCTTTTGCTTTTTCAGTAGTGGTGACAGATTTTAACTTCTCCATCCACCTGCTTTTCACCTGGCTTAATTCTCATTGTAACCCATGACAAATTTTCAAGACAGCTAGTTTTAGTATTAGTAAGATATTCTAGGGATAACGGAGCAAGATAGTTGATTCACATAGGGACTGAACATGTGATCTTGCCTTCATTAAATGTGTGATTTAACCATCTGAGCAATCTTTTGTCTTTTATGCTAATTTTTTTATTCACCCACATTTTCACTGTAATTTTTCAAAGAGAAATACATCATGCCTATATGAAATATTTGTTAATTCCCTTATTTTGTAACTATGAAACATTCATTTTGGTATTGCTATGCAGCAATCACTAGAAACTACTATATAATTGTGAGTATTATGTTTGATTTTTTTTGTCCAGAAAATTATTACATTTTTTTTACCTTGCTTGAATATTTTTGTAGTCAAATTTCAACAAAGAGGAAAAATCTTGAATAGCTGCATTCCAATTAGAACTTTCAAAATGATACAGGCCACGTTTTAGTAATGCATCTGTTCTTTCTGGGTTAAAATAAATACACTACATTGAAAAGGAAGAGGAAAGGACATAAAACACTAATTATCATGAAAACCCTTTTTTTAAAAATAAAAGCTAAAATTAAAATAATTTAAATAAATAATTAAAATTAAAATAATTCCCTTACGCATTAAAACAATCTTTTTTTAAACAAAAGGTATTTTAAAAATAATTCTCCCTAGAGTTATTTGTTAAGTTATATCTAAATAAATAAATCAGCATTTTGGAAGCATTTAAGGTTACAGTATCTCAAACATCCTGCTCAACCTCTGATTAAGATCAAACCTGTAAAAACACCATTGTTTGGGGTAATTCTACAAATGGAAGGGCTTTTAGGTGAGAAAACTTATGTGTAATTATAATAGATGAGCACTTCATCTCCCATTTTGCCTATAAAATAGAAGCCATTTATTTTTAGCTTTTTTCTTGTCCCAATTCTATACCTCTGAAACCCTCTATTTGTTGCTTAATTCTCTCCTTTGCTCCAGTCTCTGAAAAGGAGGTTGTCCTTGGCCATCCTCTCTATCTGTGCCCTTAATCCCAACTCATCCTATCTTCTCCAAATTATCCCCCTTCTCTAGTCTTCAATGTTTCTTTATCTGTTGGCTCCTTCTCTGCTGCCTAGGTCTTCCCAATCCCTAAAAATCTTCGCTTGACCATGACATCCCATCAACCTATCATCCCATATCTCTCCTCTCTTTTACTCTACTGAAACTGCTCTCTCCAGATAACTAACAGTCTCTTGATAGCTAAATCCAGTGGCCTTTTCTCAGTCACCCTTCATGATCTTTCTTCAGCTCTTGACACTGCTGACCACCCCTCCTTCTCCCCCTCCTAATTTCCCTCTTCCCTTCCTTTTCCCCCTTTCTCCCTCCTACCTTTCTTTCTCCCCTTCCCCTTTTTCCTTTTCCTCCCCCCCCCCCATGCTAGCATTTATATAGTGCTTACTATGTTCCAGGAACTAGAACTATGCTATATACACAACAGCCCTGGGAGGTAGGTGCTAAGGTAGCTGCCAAGACATATCTATCTACACCTTGATTTCCTTTGCTGGATCATCATCCACCTCTTAAGTGTGGGTGTACTATACCTCTCTTCTCTTTTTTCACCATACCTTGTCTCTCACATGGAATCATATGTTCAATGTTCACCTCTGTGTAGATATAATGGGCAGGCCTGACTGAGACAAATTCTCTCTTAGTTTAGTTTTAATAGTTGAATGACACAAGACACTCACACTAGTAACAGTTAACAGAAAGAGATTTACCTAGCCATTGCATAGAAAGAATACTAAATAACATTAAGCTCTGGTAAACTCTTGCTCTACCCTACCCCTCAAGAAGCATCTGGTTCAGCCCAGCAAAGGTCAGCCAAGAAACTCAGCCAGGAAAGATTCACCAAGTTTGAATGGCACTGGGTTCAGGTTAGTGGACCTCCTTAGGCAACCAGAAAGATACATCAATATGGCTAGAGATTGCCAGGAAACTGTCAATCAAAGTTCAGTTTGATCCTTCTTGACCCCTCAATCAAATCAAGTAACTGTACAGGTTTTAGTGCCTTACGGGAAAAACAAAAAGCAAAAATCTAGCCTAACTCATATGGGAGGAGCAGGGCAGGGGGAAAGAAGTATTGAAAATCTGGCAATTAGATTGGCATTTGATCATTGTCAGCTTTGGAAAGAGCAGTTTCAGGTGAATGAACAGGTTAGAAGCCAGATTGCAAAGGGTGTAGAAGAGAGTAGGAGGAAAAGAATCAGGGGCACAGATTGGAGATAGTTTTCTCAAGAAGTTGAGCACAAGGGGGGAAAAGATACAGCTCTTGACACTGAAATCCCTCACTTATCTTGTGGGAGATGATTGGATTAAGTGAGTTATTTCTTTTTAATGAAGGAGACGTGGGCAGGTTTGTAGGGAAGGAGCTGGGGGGGAGAGAGAGAAAGAGTGTGTGTGTGTGTGTGAGAGAGAGAGAGAGAGAGAGAGAGAGAGAGAGAGAGAGAGAGAGAGAGAGAGAGGAGAGAGAAAGTTGAGGGTGACTCTGAGATTCTGAACCTGGGAGACTGAAAGGATGGTGGTACCTTCAACAGAAATTGAGAAATTTGGGGGGGGTGAGTTTAGGGAGAAAGATAATGACGTATCAGTTACCTACCAGCATGATCTCAACTAGATGGTGCAATGGATAGAGCTAGGCCTGGAATCAAGGAGACCTGAGTTTAGTAGATTTGACCTTAGACATTTACTTACTAGCTATGTTACCCTAGGCAAATCACTTTCAGTTACTCATCTGTAAAATGAACTAGAGAAGGAAATGGCAAACCACTCCAGTATCTTTGCCAAGAAAACCTCAAATGAGGCCACAAAGAGTTGGACTTGACTGAAATGACCAAACGACAGGAAAGGATAATGGGCTCAGGTCTAAAGTAGTTGGTGAAATTCCTGAGCACACTCTTCTCCTTCCCTCAAAGCCCTCTTCCCCCATCATGCACAGTCTATTTAGAGAAGAGTAAACATGATCTGAAAGTGCTAAAAGTGTGAGATATATGCACATGTAGCAAAGAAGAAACTCCCAGCTTCAGCCAAGCTAAGGCAAGTCCTCTTCTGCTTTTGTGTAGTTATCATTCCCCTTAGGTGTAATTCTCTGCTGCGCTTGAAGAGTCAGTGCCCTTGTAGAATTCTGAAGATGCTTTTCCTTGGTCTAATTTAGTTTGTCCTTAGTATATCTCAGCTCCTGAGGCCAAGATTTCCATTGTTCACTGAAGCTCTGGGTACATTGCTCTGGTCAATACTGATGCTGATGGGAACTCCTTCCAACCTTCCTAAGTTCATAAAGTCCTGACCTGGTCAATGGAGCATGTAGGGAGTGTGGGTAGTGGTGACAGAGTTTAACCTACCACCAGGGCTCACTGTATCACCCACCCTTTTCCTCTGTGCTATAGGCACAGGTAGAAAGGGCCTGCCTCCTCAAGGTGCTCCTGAACTTGGAAGCTCCTGCTGGAAAGTAAGCTTCTGAAATATCTTGGGGCTCTATACATAGTCCCTCAGGGCTCTCTTTAACCAATTATAAAATATTTCTTATGAAGTGTCATTTGCTCTCATACAAGGATCGAAGCACTTTGTTCCTTTCGTGTTGATTCAGGAATTGTTCAGACCTACTTTACACCTCTGACTGACTGATTAATTGATTCAATTGAGAAGTCTGGGAGTGGGGAGGTGGGGATTTCTATCCCCACCTTTATTCTAATTATTCTATGATCCATGGTTTCCTTTAGTAACTTCCTAGTTAAACTCCAGTTCATAGTATAGGAGGCTGATTAAGGACTAACTCGATGAGTTTTCTACTGTTCATGAAGGATGTGGATATACCTATTGACAGTTTGTTAAGCTCCCAAGACACATCTACTGATTAGTTCTTAGTGGCTGGGATTAAGCCCAAGATAAATTAGCTGGCTTGGGACAAATGAATCATAGGTGAGGCCTCCCCTTTGTGCTGGCCCATAGAATTAAGCCAACAGAACACTTTTGGCCCTTTGCCCTTTTTATCCTTTTATCCAGAGGGATCCTGAGAGTGTAGCAGGGGTGGTAGTAGAAGAAAGATCACAAACGTCTGTCTTGTAGAAGAAGAAAGCATTTGGTTCGAATGAGGAGTTCCTAGACAATGTGATTTCAAGATAATGTCATTCCTAAATGACATTTGGAATGATTTCCAAAAAGAGTAGGCATTTCTCTGTGAAGTCTTAGGGATCTGGCCTTGTATAAAGAGAAGGAGAGTTTCCTATGCAGAATGACTCTTGGCACAAGAAGAGATCATATACTTGGTCTCTCATGCTGAAAGGATCTATGGTAAGGGACTGAAGTCAAGATATGGAAGAACAATGAACAAACAAATGAATAAATGAATGAAAATGCATTTATTAAGCATTTACTATTGGCAGGCACTGTGAAAAGTGTTGGGGATAAAAATACAAGCAAGCAAAATAGTCCCCAACTTCCAAAAACTTACATTCTAATGGAAGATAACAACATATAAAGATAGATAGCAGATAAAGATTAGATAGCAGAGGATAGGAGTCAGAGGATAATCATGTGGAAACATGTTTTGTTTGTTCTTGTTTGGCCAGGAAACAGGGTGAAGGCCTGTTTTGGGATATGAGTTAAAAAACAACAATAAAAAAAAAGAAAGAAAAACAAAACTCACCTTTCAGAGCCAGCAGAGGCCAGGTTCTGGTTTTAGGAAGATGAAAAAGATGGCCAGGGTTCATGTGGCATGGTTTAGAAATAGTTCAGAAGTGATATGAAGACTGAGGCTTTGTATACCACTTACAAGAGTTATTCAGATGGCATGGGTCCAATAGGAATGAGGGTTGTTTATCTAGCAGCCACAGCCCTATTTTCCTTCTGGGGGAATCCAAAGTCTTACAGGAATATCATAAGATGAAAAGTCTATATCAATGGATCTCTGTGCTGGTCAAGAGAGACTCATGAGTTGCTTATCTAGCAGCTCTGGGTTCAGTTTCCTTCTAAGGGGAAGTCAAAGCATGGAATGGCATTGATTCCAAAGGACTGTAGGATCCTGTGGAGAAGTGGACCAACAGGAGAGAGGGAAGGGGATTTACAGGCATTAAGTCTTTTATATATTTAAATTTATTTTATACAAATTTAGTTTTGCAAATTTTGAACAATACATTTTAAATTTAATTTTGGCAAAACAAGGCACCCTGTCATTATGCATTTTGTGTGAGACAGTTTCTGGATGACATTTTCAGATTGGTGGATCAGAAGAAGGGATCCTTTTGCTCTGACACCTCAGTTACTTGGTCTGTCTCCATTAGATTTTTTTCTTGTGGAGTCATATCAAAATTGTCATGTATGCATCAAAACATCATTCTTTGGATAATCTTGAGATTAGTATTACAATTACAATTCTTTAGGCCACTGAGCAGCAACTGATGAAAGTTTTTACAAAGTTAGATAACTGACTAGAGTGGCATAGCATGAAGTGGCAGTTAT